CTTATTTCTTGCCTTCTTAATGACTTTTTGCTTTCTTCAAGTATGATGTTCTTGATGTCATCCCACAACTCTTCTGGTGTTCAGTCTTTACTGTTTAAATATTATCACATCAGGTATAGTTGCCCCATAATTTATTTAAAAAATTATCTTGAAGAACGTAAAAGTATTCTGGTAATAAAAATGCAGTATTGTAATATATAATACTAGTATGGCTTCAAGTAAATCAAGGTAAAAAGAAAACCTAATTCATTAATTTCTGTATCTACTTGGTCATTGCATAATGCCCAAACATTACTAATTTTATGAGTTTCCTTATAGTAAAGCATAAATTATACACTAAAGGCCTAAATTTTTGAAATAGATGGCTAAAATAATTTCTATGAAAGCATTTCTTCAAATATAATGTTTAGAGTGAGTGACCCAATTCAGCACTCAGTCGCAGACATTTGCAGCAGAAACAACATACCTAATGTGTGCCCATAATCACATATTATCAACAGTTGAAACATGTACATCACCTACCTGTTTGCTTATAAATTGCTAATTCTTGTACAGTTTCCAAAAACTGCCAAAACTTCTCATTACTTTCTTCTGCTATAAATTCACTGTTTTTAAAAAAATAAAAGTAATCAGTTGATAAATGGGCATGAAAAGTGATTTACACACTATAAACTGTACTTTAATACCAAATTAAAATTTATGCAAAACAAAAACTAATGTAAAATTACTGATGGTCATATAGAAGGGCATTCAAAAAGTTGTGAAACAATAGAACTGAAAGTTAATAACGGAATTTTTCCAGGAACTTTTTGAAGTCCCCTCATACTGTAAAGCAAAGAGAACAAACTGATGATTTGTATTTGCCAGTTAAGCTAAGATGCAGCATGTAATAATGTCAGAAAGACGTCATAGGATATGAAGTCTTTTCACTCTTTCTTACTATAAAAAACTAACAGATGGGTGATCTATGATATGCAATACCACCCAAAAGTGGTATTGAGAATTGTACTGGTATAGCATTATTGGTATTGGTATAGAGAACGTTATACAAAGGTAAAAGTGAAAAAAAAAAAAATGTCATACACTTTTTCATAAACAAAGTTTTTTTAAAATCACATTATCATTTTTTTTAAGTTATCTGTGTAGAAAGCTTTTTTTTTTTTAAATCACATTATCAATTATTTTCTTTAGTTATTTGTATACAAAGCTTTATTTGAAGCAGAAAATATCCTAAATAAAATAGGATAGGAAATTAGTATATACAAAAGGGGCACGGAGATAGCTTATGCCCTGCTCCGATTTCACGAGAGAGAAGGAGAACCAAACTGCAAGTCAGCCCAAAACCAATTCCTATTAGGTAGAGGTCAGACATGCCTACCCCTTCACCCTTCAATGTTCCACACCAATTCTGACACCAACGAGGCCTCACACAGCGCTCTCTACTTCTTAGCTGGGTTCAATAATTCATTGCAAGGGCCACAGAGACCATATTCATGATTATGGGCATACTATGGAAGCAAACAGGTCATAATTCAGGATTAGAAGTGTTCAGAATATAGCTCAATGGTCAGGAAAGCCTCTTATCTGCCTCTCTGTGTCCCCTGGCCTTCATTCTGCTCTGCTTGGGCAGTTAAAAAGCTCTTTTAGCACTGCTGACAAATGCCCAAAGGGCACTCCACTCAGCTTTAAGCCTCAGCCTGGAGGTGTTCAGCTCTAGCTACCTGTGGATCAGCAAACCCAGCTCCTCAATTAAGTGCTTGGAAGCACTCTACTCCACATGCAAGCCTCCTGTATGAAGCTACCCAGCTTTCCTCGCTCAGTGGTGGCCAGCCCCCTGCTGTCTCCTGTGCTGACACTTGGGTCTGCTGCTACCACTCCACTCACATCATGATTTTCTGTCCCTGGATCTAGGAGGTTCAATGCCCAGGGATCCCAGGGTCCAAAGGATGCACTCCTGCATCTTCTTTCTTGATGGTAATGAGGTCGCCCACCCAGCTTCTGAAATGGCTCATTTCATGTGCCGTTGTTGTTGTTAAGTGACACTGAGTCAGTTCCAACTCATAGCAATCCTGTATAGGGTTTCTGAAGAGTGGTTGGTGGGTTTGAACCACTAACCTTGCAGCTACACTCCACAGCTTATCCTACAGCGCCACACCAGGAATCCTTATACTCAGTGGTGGTGGTGTGCTCATGGAGTTGGTACTAACTTATGGCAACCTTGTACAAGGTTTCTGAGGCTGTAAATCTTTACGGGGACAGAAAGCCTCATCTTTTCCCCATGGAGCGCCTGGTAGACTCAAACTGCTGACCTGTGGTTAGGAACCTAATGTGTACCCACTATACTTAATAGGAGTATATACTTGTATACTCAGTTGT